GCTCTTGGACAATAGAATAAGCATGGCAACCTTGAATGATAAACCTTGATACACCATCATTAAGTGCCTTTACATTTGGATTTGTTTTTGCCCATGCTTGAGTTAGGTTTATAATTTGTGGCATTGTCGGTTGAGACATTTTAATTTTTTTAGAAGCATTTTCAGTTTTTATTAAGTCACTCATATTATTAAACTTTTCAAATATTTTTTTATGTATTTTTAGATGATTTATCATAGATTTAGTTTGACTACATTTCCTTTTTATTTGCACTCCACACTCTAAACATTTACCTCTTTCAACACCAGACTCATCTTTGTCACCAAGTGTGAAAAACTTCCAAATTAAACCTTTTTGTCGTTTATTTACAATAAGTATAAATGCATTTTCTGTTGACTGATTAAATACTGGATGCATATTATTAGTCGATGTTGATGCAACTGATGTATCTAATTTGTCATCAGACATATCAAAAGACACACTTTGAGACGACATAGTGAACTAAAAATATTAAATAACAAATATTCAGTTATTCACAAAAATTGGTATGTCATATTGACATTTTTTAGAATATTACTGACAGAACTGTCGTTTTTATGAATCATTTATGTTGATCCACTTTTTATTATCTTAATATTTGTTATTTACATTATATTTGGTATGTACTTCAGTTAAATATTCTTAGACATTATTAATTTAATATTTTTAATAATTATAAAATACTAAATTGAGTAAATAGTATATTCAAAACTATTAAGTTAATATTAGTTAATAGTTAATATTGTTAATAGTTATTACTTATTATAATCATTTAACAAAAGATTTTTTTTATAAGAGTTTGATAAAGGTAATTATTTAATATTTATTAATTATTAATAATATTATGTTTTTAATCAGATTTGAAATTAATAATTATTAATTTGATTAAAATCCAGACAAATGCATAATACGTCTATAGGTACCTACTATTTATTGTTTAATGTTTAATGTTTATTATTTATTTAATTCTACAATGTAGGTACTTAAATAGTTAATAATATACCTAATCATATTTAAAAAAATAGTATTTATACTTTAAATATTTATTTACCGTATAATCGAATTATTTTGACAACATACAAACTATTTGTTAACACACAAAACTATATAAATATAAAATGGTAGACCACAAACAAATCAAATGCAACACCACAATCGAGATACGTAATCGAATGACAAGCATTAAAAATAATTATTACGACTAACGGCTGGTGGTTAGTGTGTGTATTTGGGTGGTAGTGGTAATCAATCAGTATAAATACTATTAACTATAAAATGTCGTTTTCATAATAATAAATATGTATATAAAATATAGCAATAACAATCCTAGAATTCTTGTCGCGGATACTTGTATTTGGGTTCTCTCAGTTATTTATAGTTTCAAAATTTAATAATTATTTTTACACAATATAGTGAAACACTGAAACAAGTACTCGATTCAATTCGAGTATTTGGTTCAAGTCGAGTACTCGTATTTACGAGTACAAAATTTTTTTTAGTCGAGTCGAGTACTTGAACTCGACTCGAAAATTTTTCCAAAGTCGAGTACTCGAACAACACTAATCTTGGTCCAAGTGGTCAGACATGGTTTGCTGATTGTTACACAGTACGCATGTAAATTTTGTGTGCTCCTTACAAATCGGTCTGCTACATACTGCTCATTGAGTCTACGAAATGTATTCACATTTTAAATTTGATAATGGTATAAAATTATATATTATTATAAGTACTAAATTATTTATTTACCATAGTTTTGTGATTTTTTTTTTCAGACAAATCGTACACTTAGGCCGACTACTGCTGCTTGAGCTTAGATCAACATTGACAGCAGTCTTTTGTTTCCAGACAATTTCATAATTTGTGACCATAAGTCATCGAGATTAAGATAGTTGCTGCGTATAACTCCAGCTAAATACAAAAGTCCGAATAGTGCATTTATTTCAATGTCTGATGTTATACGTAAGTTACTTCGATTACTATAATTCTTACAAAGTATCTAGGTAAATATATAGGTAGATACAGCATCGCGAGCAACTCTTTTTACACCGGGTAAATGCAAAACTATGTTAAGAACCCGCTCCGAAGTGCACATAACAACTATATTACGTCGCCGAGTGCCTATTTTATTAGATGGGGGGGGGGGGTCATAAAACCATTTAGTTATATTATCTTTTCCTAAGTAATATGATGGTTCTGGTAAAGGATTTCGACTTCTTGAACATTCATACTTACAATTTTACATACACATAAATACAATATTATATAGGTAGTTATAAACATAATAATAATAATTTTTGTACATAAGACATTTTTATTTTAAAATTTTATTGTACATGATAGTTCCTAAAACAATTATTACGTTAAAAGACAAATGTATACTGTAGTACTTGGTACATTTAACATATGTAAAACCTTTATATTGAGGCATTTCATATCTCTCTTTTTTAATAAATGTAGGCCAATGGTCAGTTTTATCGGTTTTTACAGATTTTGTTGGGCTGAATGACTGGGATTGAGTACTTCCTATTTTAGTTTCAACTGACATTGATGGTTTTCCTCGTCTACTATGTCTTACTTGACCAGATTTTATTAATGAATGAGTTAGCCTCTTTCTCCATTCTGCCAACTCAATTATACCATTTACTTCATTTTTATTTTCTTGAAATCTTTTATAAAAACACCATGAATTGACCTCTGTCATGTCAATTAAATGGTAAAACAAACACATGTACCATTTAAGAGAATGAAATCGATTTTGCACCTTCCAATGTTGTTGTCTAATGGTCCACTCCATCCATGTTATGGTTGTATTTAGTCACTAATCGTGGGCAGTCAGTTACAATTTCTTTCTTCATTGAACAATTAAATCTTTTGTTTTAGGTGTTTCCCCACAATAAGTTGAAACTAATTTAACAGATTTATTATCTTTCTAAATTTCAGCAGAAATTGGTGCAGTCATATGATGTAATATATTCTGGGGATTCTCTTTTTTTTTTTTTTTGTATGCAGCAATTTGGGAAATAAAGAAGTCAGTCCCCAAACTAAGTATTCTTCTTTTGTATAAATATTCCATAAGAGGAATGGCTGTATAATAATTATCAAAAAATATTTGATTTTTATTAACTGGAATATTTCTTCTTAATCGTACTATAACATTGGACGAAGCCCCAAAATCTGGTTAATTTAATTTTTGAAACATTAAATAATTTTCTTGTCCTGAATATATTTCGAAACTGTATACATAACCTTGGACATCTGTCAAAACAAAAAGTTTGTATCCCCATTTATGTGGTTTGTCAGGTAAGTATTGTTTCATATAACTATGGGCTTTAGTACCATATAATTGTTCGTCAAGCACCAAATTTTGTTTGCAAGGAATGGATGATAAGCAACTATTAAGATAATAAATAAGAGGCTGCAACTTGTGAAGTCCATTATGGTTAGGGTCATTTAATAGTAGCATAGATTAATTATTATTAAAATGCAAGATACTTCTAATAAGCTCTAAGTGGTTTCTATTCATAGCATTAAAAATAATCGGTACACTTAAAGCCTCTGATCAAGTCGCGTACTTTTGGCACATGCATTATTGAAGCCTATACACAAATCCCTATATACTTTTTTAATTTATCTATAGTATCTGTTAGTGGTTTATTAACATTTTTTTTAACAGAATATAGTTCAGATTGATATTTTATATTTTGCAAAAGGTCAATAGTAAAAAAAAAAAAAAAAAATCAAAATCATCTAACGGTGTATCTAATAAAAGTATATAAATAGAAAGCACAGATTCGGTATGTGTTATACATCTATTATCAGTTACAAAGCTTCCTTTTTTCCATGTTAAAAATTTGTCAAGCTATTAGGTTTTTTAAAAGTGTTACTTGTTTGATGGTTGTTTTAATTCAGATCTGACAGGATATTGAAGAAGCAAACAAGGACTTCCCCATTGTTGAACTGGGCTTCAACAGGCATTTCATATAAATCTATATTATCTATAGCAAAAACATTGTACTGAATTTAAAATATAATAATTGATAATAAAACAGTTATATTACCTTCAGCATTATTTCTTGGAATTCTAATGTGTTCTGGTACTTGAATACTATTTTGTTCATTTTCATTACCTGGCAATTCAAAATCATTTTCACTGTCTGACCAGTTTGAAATAAAATTTCCATAAGTTGTTTATCCTTCATAATATTTTGTCTTGCCATTTTTTTGTATGTTGATGCCCACTGTAGCACATATGCAACATGATTAAATTATGGTATAAATCTTAAAATATTTAGATTCAGAAATGTGCAAATTATCTGGATAACATTTTTTGTTTTTCTTCGATAATACTTGCATACATGAGAATCCTGAGTTTTATGCCTTTCGGCTACAAATCAGGTCCGTTTATTAGCGCTTTAGCACTATTTACGGGCAGGATAGGATCAAGATGAATGCCAGCAAGCCGACATCCATCCAGTGTCGTCTATGGACCACAAGCACCAGGAAACGAATTTCCTGTACCAGTTGGTTAGGGCTTTCCACTGCCTTTTCCGTCACCGGTGAGACCGTGGCCTATCTAACCACATTCCGATTTTAGTTACGGACAACCTTCGGTGTTTGTACCCATCCGATAGGTCGGGTTGGCGCCCAGGAGAAACGACCATACGACCCAACGGAGCCAGATCGTAGAGCCGCCATTCACTAGAGGCTTTTCCCTGGTCAGCATTGACCTCAACCACATATTAGCTCCCGCTACAGCCACCACGAAACCAATCCGCCACCAGCCGGGCTACTGTGTAGACCGACTGGAGTGGGGGGGCACTGCTCCAGATCCACGAATGTCACCGGTTTACAGCGGGCTTCCCCCCCCGCCCGTGGTACCAATAACGTCCCCTTTCGGTAGACACATCGATTGGTGGGATGTTTCGACAGAGCGTCATAGAGGTGTACTCTCAGCTATTATCTCCCATGATTCTGGTAGTGGTCCATGGCTCATGGTGGGCCAGTTGTGACCCTTTTAGTCGGCTTTTACGACAAGCGGGTCATACTGTTGATGAATTCTATTCCCCATGCAACAGGGTGATGTAGTCCGTTAATTTATTCTTCATTAGATTTCTTCCTTTCTAGGACTTCTACTGCAAAGGAGGAGAAAGCCTTGTAGAGTGCCTTAGTTGTTATGAAGATATGTGGTTCACATGGCCATATATGTCCTGCCCTATGTACTTCTAGCTCCAGACGTTGTCTGGACTCTAAGTGGATGTTGCATTCGTATATTATGTGATCTGGTGTTTCATCTCCTTGTAGACAAGTACATAGTGGCGTGTCTTTTAGATTAAACTGATAAAGTTTAGATCTAAAGTCTCCGTGACCACTAAGAAATTGTACTACATTGTGGTTTAGCCATATTGGGGTTTCCATTCGTTTCCTGATGTTTGGGAAGAAACGATATGTCCATCTTCCTTTGTCAGTAGTATCCCATCTTGCCTGCCATGCGTCGTAAATTGTGTCTCTCTCTTTTTTAATTTGCTCTTGTCTATCTTCCTCAGTTAATTCCCTTGTGCTGTTTATTATCATTTGGAGGCGAGATTCAAGGTCTAGAGGAAGCGTCCCTGCAATTACCTGAAGGCAAGCTGTCCTTCATGACGTACCTTGCTCCTGACGGATGGGTCATCTTATTGTCTTTTATTGAGCCTACCATCATTCCATCTGTCATTATTATCAAAATTTTAGCTTGAACAACAACATCTTTCCAACTCCTATTCGCAACCGAGAAGAAAGTCCTGGTGCATTTACCATCGGGGTGTACTTCTCCTGTCACCGTTCTGTCGATTCTTAATGTACTATTAGCTTCTAAAGGTGTTACCATATAGGAAGTCCCAGGGTTGTAAGTTCTTGTGGCATGCATTTGCCTACATCTGTCAAGGCTCTGGATATCGAAACTGTCAGACTCCATCCTGGACAGTCTGCATATCGATGAAGGTCGAGCATCGTATCACTAGATAGCTGATCAAGACAAAGAAGCTCTGGTAAGGTAAAAGAATATTTTCTTTTCTTTGGATAAGTTTGCCATGAGGAACAGGTAAAGGATGAGATAATTGTAAATAATGTAATATAATTTTAATGAGATAAATTTATATAATATAAAAATGAACATAATATTTTTATTTATCATCTTCATCACACGGAGAATGATTATGCATGTTACGACAGTTAAAACTTTAAATTCTTAAACTTAAATTTATTAGTAACATCGTTTATAAAATTAGTACCTTTACTTAATAATAAGAAAGTACATTTGCTTGAAAATTTTCCTTTTTACGAAAAGATCAATCTTCATTAAGCCAATTACAGCTTTCCAGCTTTAAACAAAACTAAAAAAAAAATCAAAAAATTAAAAAAAAAATCAAAAAGTCAACACCACGATAAGCCAAGACGAAGGCGATGACGAATTAGTGTAGTATCGACATGATACAAACCTCGAACCCATAACATATATTGATCACTGACAATAGATTCGCCATGAAATCTTTGCGCATCTAAAGCGCGAACAATAATTTTTCGTAGGTCATACAGCTCATTTACATTCATTAAACGTATATGAGAACATTTTACGTGTAATGGCTTGTTTATGCGAGGACGAACTACGGCAACAGGTCTATGCGGCATATCCTTATAAATTTAAACAATTAATTAATATAATTAAAGCTTTAATTATAGCTATAAAAAAACGTATTTTAATATTTAGATATAGATTTTAATTTTTATATTCACGAAATTATCACTAATTGAAAAAAAAACGTTAGATGGCGGACCCAGTATTTCTGACAAGTGCATCATTCATCAATTTAAATTCATAATTCAGGTTAACGGAAATATTAAACAAACTAAAACGTATATTCATGTTGCAATAGAAATATACTGGTATATATCTAAAAGAAATCGAAAATTTAACTCCACGACGAAGACTTTGACGAATCATTGTATTATCAACATAATAGAGATCGCGGATCCAAGACATATATTGATCGCTTGCAATGGATTCACCATGATATCTTTGTGCATTTGAAGCACGAACAATAAATTTTCGTAATTCGTACAGTTCATTAACATCCATCAAACGTATTTCAGAACATTTTACGTGTAATGGTTTGTTATTTCGGCAACGAACCCCGTCAACGGGCTTATATGACTTGACCTTCGTATTTATTTTCTTGCGGAACTGACCTTTTGACGCGGTCGCGTAATTCTGACATCGTTTCCATGGATGTAAAATCGTCTTCTTTTACTTTTAGCCATTCTTGTAATTCTATTTTTCTAGCATTACTTATTGGATAATTGTTCATTTGGACCTAATGGTACGACGCGTTATCCATAACTACCACACAAGGCTCTTCCAAATTACGAAGCATTTGTATGAACCATTCTTTAAAAACCTCCGAATTCATTTGAGAGTGGTAATCCTCAGACATACTTGATGTACAACGGAAGACTAATTTTGAATTCTTCACAAACCCAAATGATTCTGAACCAGCATGACATATAATAAGATGTTTGTCCTTACTTGTAGGTACTTTAAATCCTTCCGAGTTATCAGAGTCTTGCCAAATATGATTCCGCGTGTGATTTTGGTTCACCTAAGTCTCGTCTAAGTAGACGACTGGCCGATCATCATTAGTTGTTCGTAGGATTACCATATGCCTTAAGAACCGCACTCGCATTGCTACAATGTCATTTCTTTTCATTAAAAATCTTCGCCCGTCGTTACATTTTTATACCTGAATTTCATTTGTTTTAAAATTCTCCACATCGAAGTTTTTGAACCTTTATAGTCGGTTTTTTTCTCGATATTTGGATAAAATTTTTGTATTTTTGTACCTTCAACCTTTCAGTATTATCTTTGTTCTGCCATATGTATCCGCGAGTGTGGTTTTGATTTATCTAGGTCTCATCCAGATAAACTACAGGACGAGTATCCTTATTTTGACGTAAATTACACATGGTTCTTAAAAATTTAACGCGCGTCGCAACTATATCGTTTCTCTCCATAAGAAATTTTCTACCATCGTTACATTTTTTATATTTGAAATGTAAAGACCTCAAAATTCGCCACATAGATGTTTTGGATCCCTTATATTCAGTTTTTTCTTGGTACTTAGGAGTTTAGTTGTTGTGGGGTACTCACGATTGTCGTAGAACTCATGGATAGTTCTCCGTACAATATCCGCATCAAAGTCGTCAATATCTGTTGCGTACTTGCTCGCTTATATTGTTTTTACGGAGAGGTAAATGAAACACTTGAAAGGCCGACTTCTGGTTCTGAATACCATAGATTTGACACCTTCAGTCGTAATCCTTTTTACGGTACTTGAACTGACTCCACAAGAATCCGGAGTAATTTGTTGAGTGTGACAAAAATACTTAGCAACTTCGATGTTCACTTTGTCATTTGACAACTTTTTAAAATAATTGTAAACGTTAAAAATTGTATTTTTTGTCTGTGAATGTATATTAACACGTCGTGACATTATTAAAAATAAAAAAAAATCGGGTATATTTTTCAAATATCGCGGGTTAACTGTAATTATTAATCAGTAAAACAACTATCTAAACAAAAACGATAATGGATTTGTTTTGTGGTGAAACGGGTTACACTGATA